GGGTAGACAGGCCCCTAGCGGCTGGGCACAGAATGGCAGGGAGAAGGGGGTAGGGCTGGGAGACCCATTGGGAGAGGAGACCCATCCAGGCCTGGCCAGGAGTGCAGGGGGCTGGGGCCCAGTGTGACAGTCAGGAGAGTGTCTGGATGCCAGGCAGGAGGTGCCCACAGGCTGGGCGAGGCAGTGAGGGGCTGGGCAGGGTCAGCGTTCGGGGCCATTAACGGAGGCACGGAGGGCGGAGGGTGGGAGGAGCAGCTGCAGCCGCTGAGGAGCTCAATTTGAACCTGTTAACTGGAGGTGCCGGTGCTAGCCAGAGGAGACAGGAGATCATTCTTTCCTAGAAGTTACAATTGTTTGAAAACGAGTCAATAAGATTTTGCCCTCTGGCTGTCTCCAGCAGCTGAGCCCTTCCTCAGGCCTTCTAGGTCCATTTGTCTCTCTCATCCTCCTCCCTCCCACCTCCCAGCAGGGCCAGGAGGCCTGGGCCAGAGCTCCCAGCGCCTGGAGACGACAGACACGCTGCTGCCCAGAGACCAAGACAGGGACAGTGTTGGGCGCGCGCACATACACACACACTTTCCTCTAGAGCCTTGGAGGTGGGAAACGGGGCCTGGGCCATCCCCAGCCTGCCAAGTCCGAGGGAAAAATAGCTGCAGTGTCCGTGGCTTCCAACCAGAATCGCCCGGTGCTTCATAGCGTGATCACATCCTTGTCACGTCCCCATTGGTGTAATGCTGCTCGCCTTTGTTGTGGTGTGATTAGTCACAACTACAGCTAACCTAGTTTCTCCCAATGAGCTATGTCACTCCTGAAAGGCAGCATCAACTCCTACTATAGTTCTGGTCACTGGCAGACACGAAGCACAGTGTGGATACCTGAGCGTGCATGTGTGTGTGTGTGTGTGTGTGTGCGCGCGCGTATCTATGTGAGCATGCTCGCATAGGCACGTGTGTTTCCTGGATGCATGTATGTGTGCATGTGCATGTGTGGATGTACATCTGTGTGTAAGAGCATGCTTGTATGTGTGTGTTTCTAGATACGTGTGTGCATGCGGGTGGGTGGCTACACATGCGTGCGTGCCTACGGGGCATGATGGGAACATTGCTGAGCCTCCCTGAGGACTTGCTCCATGGCCCAGGTTCAGGGGCGGGCGGGGGTCACGGGCCAGCAGCTCTGATGGGGGGGGCGTGCTTCCAATTTTTGTCGCTACTGTTCATTGCCATCAACTTGGCCCCAGCTCCTGGGTGTACCCCATGAACAATGAATGAAACTGTCGCTGCAGTATGATCCACGGGGTCTGCTCTTCCCGCCTCTAGTCAGTGACGCCACAGGGTTGGCATGGACTCCTCTCTAGAAGAAAGGGCCCCCGGTGGCGGAGGGGTCACGCGTTGGGCTGTTGGCAAGCCCCAGCCACTCCACGGCAGAAAGAGAGGCTTTCTCCTCCCGCGAAGATGTAGTCTCCAAAACCCACGGGGCAGTGCCACCCTGTCCTACGGGTCGCTCTGAGTTGGCATCGACTTGCCGCCAGGGTTTAGAATCTTTGGAAGTAGGTCTTTCTTGCTGGTTTGTCTTCATCTGGAAGTGCCCGGAAACCTGATCTCCGGAGGGACCCAGCCGCTCTTGGCCTAGAGGCACAGATTCCAGCACCCAGCCTCTCACAAAACACCCGTGGGGCAGCTGGGGGATTCGAACGATTCGAACTCCCAGCTTGTGCTGAGCAGCCCAACTCGAGGGCCTCCAGCCACCAGGGCTCTCTGGACACTGCCCCTAGGTGTGTTTGTTTGCTCTAACCCTCATCCTGAACAGTGCTCACTTCATGCTCTGCATGGGACACACCAAATGGCCCTGCGCCTGGCTGTCTGCGCGCCTCCCACCACACACACTAGCACAAGTGTCACCGCTGGGCGAGCCCCCAACACAAAGCCCTCAGCCGGGGTGGCAGACAATGAAATCCCACCTCCTGATCCGTCTGCCATGGCTGCCGGAGCACCGAGTGGAGAAAGATGCTGAGCCTGAGGCTGCCTGTGAGCTCAGGGCAAATGCTGTGATCAATTAGTCATGTCTGCTCTGGGCGTGGGAGGGAACTGAAGAGTAGGAGGTGGGTCGGATGGGGATGGGAGTGGGGGTGCTCCCTGACTGCTCCCACCTCCAAGGAGGCTTGGTGTTTGTCCTACTTGTGTTGGGGCTGCCTGGGGACTCAACTTGAGTCCAGAGCAGAGCAAAGGGGTCTCGGGGGGCTTGGCACTGCAGCCTGCGTGTGGAGGGGTGATCTCCCGGGAGGTGCAGCTCAAACTGGTAGGTGGGGAGCAAGCAGCAGCCAGAGGACAGAAAGGGGTGGTCTCAGACAGGGCCTTTGATCTGTGACAAAACCGCACGTTTTCTTTAAGAGACAACTGATTTTTATTTAAGAGAAACACGATGATACATGATTAACTTACAAATGAAGCTGTGATACTCTGCAATTCAATAACATTTAGAATACTCAGCATTATACAGCACTTGAAATACTGGGTTTGACGTAGTGTGAGGGTCGGCTGGGTCAGTCCGTATGACAGTCCCCAGGGCGTTGTTTGTCTTTACGTTTGGGGCTTCTTTTCTAAGAACTTTTCAACCACATTCACAGTTATCACTGAAGTAATGCTTTCACTGGTGAAAACCAGTGTACTGGGATTAACACTCGATGTATGTTTGCGTCAGAGGGGCGCGTATCCGCAGAGAGAGGTGGACCACACGGAGAATTCCGGGACTGGGGGCTCAGGAGAAAACGAGTGGGACTGCATTTGCCCCGTTGCACAGAGGAAGGTCGGCCTCGTGGTGGGAGGAAAATGGGGACGGGGCCTGTCATTTTCGTTGAGGAAATCAAAATGTACCGGCGTGACACCTCCCCTAAAGCGAGTGTTAAAAAGCGAAACCCATTCTTTTTTTTTTAATAATTTAATTCTGACACTTAGTTGGATAAAGACGCTACTTATAACAAACAATATAATAATCTGTGGAATACCTTTTGCAACATTTCATTTTGCCCTCACTTAAGCAATAAGAAATGTTGCTCTAACTACTTAGCTCACGGGCAGGCAGGATTGGCCCATGGGCCGTAGTTCGCGGACCCCTGGGTGCGCCCATGCAGGTCGTGGCAGCCAGCTCTGGGGGGTGGTTTTATCCTGCAGGGTCAGGTCCTGCCTTAGGAAGACTGCCCCCCAGGGCCAAGTGCCTGCACCGGATGGTGGTCAATGGGCAGACTGGCAGCCGAGGTGGGCATGGACAGACTCAGGGGCCCATGGCCTGAGTCCAGAGGGTGGGCCAGGCCGGAGCTGGTGGTGGGAGCCGGCGAGGGTGCCCGAGTGACCACCCTGCCCAATAGGTCGACAAGGCAGAAGAGAAGTCCCTGGAGGAGCGCGGCCGGATCCTCATCTCCCTCAAGTACAGCTCACAGAAGCAGGGCCTGCTGGTGGGCATCGTGCGCTGTGCTCACCTGGCCGCCATGGACGCCAACGGCTACTCAGACCCCTACGTGAAAACGTGAGTGTGCGGCCAGGCTGTGCCCGCTCCTGCTCCTCCCTCCGGGGCCTGATCGCACGGAGGGAGCCCTAGATGTTGGGCCC